GAAGATAATTTTAATAACAAATGAATTTAGAAAAATCAATGCCACGGAAATTCAAGATGGCCCTCTATGAATCTTGGACTGTTGCGTATATTATTTTTTGAAAAATGCTATTCATCCCCAGTGGGAATGTATCCCCAATCTATGTGGATGTAAATGATTGATTAAATGATATGTGATATTAAACGACTTATTTAATTTCACCTATTATTTAATGTCACATTAACGCCACATAAACTGAGAATGCATCTCTACTGGGGATGAATAGCATTTCTCTTATTTTTTTCGGCATCTCCTATCCTCTGAATAAATAAATAATAAATTTCTCTCCTTACCCTCCCTTCTTCTTTTCTTTCTGTGAAGTCCAAAGTAATATTCTCTAATTCCTAAATCCTACTTTGGAATTAAAAGAAAATTTCTACTGACTTGAAAGGGTCAATCGTTTTATTGGGTAAACAATTCCTTAACTGATTATAATTCTGAATCCATAGCACCAACACAAAAAGCGCGACGGTTCAAATTTCCAATGAACAACATTTCTTCCCTAGCGAAGTTCATCTAATAACCGTTTAGCATGAATACCGTCTCAGCATTGAAGTGAATTTAGCGTTAGTTACAGAGAGCTCGATACAAAATGGCATGACCAAGGATTAGGCATCATGGAATGCAATGTTCTATAAAGAAAATCACAGTAGTCGTATATTTGGAGCCACCCTGAGTATCATATAGCTCTAGAGGAAGAGATACAATATCAAAGCTGCATCCTTAATCCACTCAGTGGAGCTGTGTATTCAAAGTACAATCATACCTAATGAAATATGGATCTGGAAAAATTGTATTTTTTCTGCCTATAGGGTGGAAAGAAGTAGTCGAGTAAATTAAAGAAGGAACGGGAGTCCAAGCATGCCAAGTTGGCACCTTTCAGCCTTCAAATTCAACATGTAGAAGCCACATACAGTGATCAGTGGTGTAAACAAAACAACACAGAATAAAGTGAGGTGTTGAATCTGATTCAGGAAAAAAAATATGAGCTTACTTAAAAATCATGAACTCATCTAGCACTGGATTTGAAGATATCACCGTAAATGAAATTGAAGAATGTAACTTCTCACGGTCTCTGTTCATAAGTATTTTCAAGAACTGGGACTCCAGGACCATACACCAATTGACATCGTTCATGGAATGAACCAACTAATCGAGAGGCCACTTCCTTGAAGAACATATTTGCCATCTGCGGCCAAAAACCCATTACATGCTTAGCTGTAGAAGGAAAAAGGCTAAAAATATATGTTTTTATTCTACGACTCAGATCATGTGTACTGGGCACTTGTTCAAATAAACCTATTATGAATAAAAATTCAATTCCAGGCACGCATTTCCACACAGATCTTAAGCAAAATAATTTCTTAACGTCAGGCAACATATGTAATATGAAAATATTCACAATAAGGGACAAACCCCAACAACGAACAACGAAAAGTTATATATAAAGTCCGGACAACAGTCACCATAAATATTCATGAGGTGCACCAAGAGTTCATTTAAGATGTGACCACTGACCACAAAGTGTAGATAATGTTTACCGGCATAGTCAGTTCTAGTTAACAAGCAAACCTGTTTCCAGGTATTAATTTTCAGTTTAGACCATGTGGTGAATAGAGAAGAATAAAATAATTCCCAAATAGGTTAAGGTGAAATTCAAATGTTACAGAAATCAAAGGACATTCCAGTAGAGTAGTTCTAAATCAATCAAAAGAAAAATGGCTAATGTAGTTGAGTTAGAAATTAGTTGAAAGTAAGACTTATATTGTAACAAAAATTAATTCGTGTCGAGCTCAAATTTATTGAGCATAAGACTGATATTGCAGTATATTACTCAAGAGAAATAATGTAATCATTTAATTCATCACAATACAGCCACTAAGTATCTTTCTCCCATCCACAATTTTATCCGTGTTGCAAAAGAATAGCAATACCACACATTGTTCTAGAAGAACGGGACTGGGAGAAGTTTAGGCTGCTGTGCTTAAAAATGTTGTGCCTTGAATATGATTTGATTTGGGCATCCGTAACATTTAATTAGAAAACATGATAGAAATTCATGTTATGGAAGTGCCAAATTCCAAGAAATAGACGCATAGACATTGAAGTTTAACACTACTAAGAAAAAACTATAAATTAATATAGTTTTAAGAAAAAAATTAATCATTGATGGAAATAAAACTGGTGAAGGTTAGAAATGTGATTTGACCTAAATCCCAACTGCATGCAGCTAAAAACAGGATTGTGCAGTGCTTTATAAAGGTGATTACGGAAGGGAATGAATGATCCCCATATAACTGGGGGCAATAATAGAATCACAAACCAATGGTACAAGAGAGATCATAAATTTTCCATCATTCTGTTGTTGCCTTGGGAAGAATTCTGATAACTCATCTGCATTCCTACTATAATGATTAAGGAAGATTTTTCTTTATTGCCATTGAGAATATCATCATATTGTAGAATATTTTTATCACGAGTCTACATACTGTGAAGGGGAAACTAGACTTCTTTCAGTGATACCAGGCATCAAATGCTGTAACAATTGCCAGACAAAAATATCACTAACCCATTGTTTTTCCGCTTGAAGAAAGTATTGTTTTGATTATAATCTTCTATGAATTACAACACAAATTAACACAATGTTGGTGCTCACCTGTCGATAAAATGGTGACTGAAACTTAAAGTCCACCAAGAAATGAAGGTTGCAGGTTCCTGGAGCAGGCCCCTCATTAAATTCCCAGATGTTAATTAAATGATCAAAAAGACTGCTTTGGGAGGAAGTTGTCTGCAAGGAGGAGAAAAAATAGAATTAACAAAATTTGAAGTTAGTTAATTGTATAAAACAGCAACCTTGAGGGGTTGCTCAATTGATCCGCCATTGGATTTGCGCCCCAATGGTCACCGGTTCGAGTCTCCTCAGAGCCATTTAGGTGAGTATCCGACCGTAAACTTCAGGGCCTCGTGGGATTAGTCGAGGTGTACGCAAACTGGCCAGGACACTCACGGTTATTAAAAATAAAAAAATAAAACAGCTCTTTGCATGAAAACAAGAATTCCTTGGGTGATAAAACTGGAAGCTTAACAAACTAATTGAGCAAATATGTATGCTTAAGCAGATCAATCTACAAAACACGTTTCCCTTATAAAAGCAAATAGAAAAAGTTAATTTTCAATTTCACAAGCATTACCACCCCCATTTCTTTCCAAATATAGCAACTTATTCAGAAAAGTGCTCCTTCTGTGGACTGAGATGACGAATTTGGGAACATGAATTAGACTATTTTTTTTTATCTAATTTAAGTTAGTATTTGACATAGGCAGCAACATAGTCAAGCAAATGAGAGTCAGAGGCTGCACTTCTACCGAAACAGTGTTTTACCTTTAGAAATCCAGTTGAAAAAAACAAAAGAAATTTCACTGAAATCTTTTTTTTTTTCAATGGATAGAAGGGAAAGACAAGTAAAGGTTTTTAGAATTCAAAGGGATCAAATACGAAAGGATACTCTGAATCCCTTTTTTTCTTAAGCTAGAAATAAAGGATCCCCTTTTTTTCTCTTTTTTCCCTATTTCCGATATAGGGATCTTTGGTGATTCAAGAGCGGATTTCAATTTTTTGACAAGGAGAAAATAAAACGTTCGCTCGGGTTGCGAAATTAGGGATGGCAACGGGACGGGGCGGGGCGGGGCGCCCTCCCCGTCCCCCGCCCCGTTAAGAAATTCATTCCCCGTCCCCGCCCCGTTCCCCGTTTAAGG